AGTCACCCAAATTTAGGGTAGCTTTAATATCGTGATGTTTCATTTGTATACTATTACCCTGATGAAGATGCTTTTCAGTTGTTGCCTTGAACCATAGATCGGGAATCTAAGATCATTAATTCTTGTTGGTGTAGGCAGCGAATCAATACCACCTACCATAACTATTTGAACATTCAGTTCGGCTGTTGTAATACAGTACTGTTGTCAGTCTTTAACGCCCTGTTGTTTACCTGATATCATGTGCTTGTACAAGATAGATAAACCAGATCAAAAATTAAAAAAAAACAGTGGATGTAAGAAACATGGGTACACGGTAGCGCATAAAGACTACATGCCGCGTAGTGAAACGAGTTTTGGGCTCATTCATAAAATTAACTAGTATTCTTTCCGCGCATGAAGTTGAAAATTGCTTGTAAATTTCTCCATGTGTTCAAGCATTGGTAAAGTTTGTAAATGCTATAGCACTTAGTGTTGTAAACGACGACGATATGTTTGTCTGCGTGGCGAACATATTGTCATCTTTTAAGGGAGTATGTATTCCAGCATTGAGAATCAATAGGTGGTGGTCCTATATTCTTTTTTCTCAGTCTCTGATCGCAATATCTATCTCTTATACCATTCTATCTCAAAGGAACATAAGCAGCGTTCTTCATGACGGTGTCGCTTCTCACCAGACATCCTTAACACTTTTAAGATTTTCATCTGATGTTGATTACTACACTGGATAGCCAACCATCAGGCGGTATGAGGCGAATTGCAGCTCTAAGAGGTGTTTGCATCAGAAAGTATCACGGTGTCACAAGCCATTCTTATATGACCAATCAATGCAGTTACTGTCGCTGGTGTGTTCACGTCATAGACTTGTCACCTGTGTTTGACTGATTCCACTAAGACAACGTTCCTTCCTCCCTTGTTGCTGTTCTGTCCTTAAATCTTTGCTTTTCCTTAGATATCATCGGCATGTAAGATAGCGATGCTGTTCCAAAGGAAACTTTTTAAATATGAATTCGGAGCTAATTCTAAACCTTACGCCTCGTCAAGAGTTTTCATTACACATTTGAATCATTCATCAGTGAAAATTTAGTCTCGGTGTCTGTTTTGTTCCTTAATGCTTTTTCCTTAGAAGCAAAGAATTGACGAAATGATTGACAAACTTGGCCTTGATCGCGATTCTGGCAAAAGTTACTATGAAAAAGGTAAATTTGAACGTTGCTGACATAAATAGCTGCTGCTAGATTAAAAATAACAAGCGCAGGGTTATTTATACTGTAATGACATACATGTTCCTCAGAGTCTGAGTGAATGATTTCAAAGATGTCTATAATCAATATACATGAAACTTTCAAAATAGGGGTTCCTCCGTACTTCGCGCCTGCTTCTAGATGCATCGGAAGCAATTTATACCTATGGCGTAGCCCATTTTCAGACGTATTTTTTTGTAGACAGATGCATTTTACAGTTTATATTTCATAGTATACACGAGTACATACTAATTTATATGTGAAGGAGATCACTTGGATTCCTGGTTAAAGAATCTTTGTGTGTAGACATTTCTTAACAAAGAAATGAAGCGCTATTTTTAGGCTAAAAATTCATACCAGCGGATAAGGGACCACCTGTATGTAGAAATGATGTATTTGTGAGTTTCCCTAACCACGAATCTCAAAGATTTGGTGCAGGAAAATTTATACCATTTTATACAAAATAGTGTTTAACCGTTCCTTTCAATGCAGTCATTGATAATCAGATTTACGCAAAATCAAAAATCCTCTATATTTTATAAAAGTTCATTTCTCGATCTATCTTCTCGCTCGAAACCAAGACCGTTTTTTATTAACATTTAAATTTTTTGTATTTTAATACAACTATATGTCTTTCATGTTTTTTTGAACACGTTTATAATTTTTAGGAATATCAAGTAGAAAATATTACCTCATGACGTATAACAATGCTATGTTTATCGGTTACTTTATCATTTTCATTCGGCTGATAATCGGAATACTGAACAAAGGAAAAGGTAAGAAATGTGTTATATTTTACTTAGTTCGTTCTAAGTTTCTCTAGTCACAGTAATAGTAGATGCAGTTGGGGCAGTCGCCATACTGCGAGTAATGATAATGGCGGCGATAGTATTTTTAGAAAGGCATTTTCCATGCTTATTTGAAGTGAAGCCTCTCTTTGAGAGTCATTGGCACAGTCACTTCTTTAAGGTTACCAGTCGTTCATGGTGCAGGAGACCTTTCTTTTAATGCTGTCAACTGTATTATTTCAGTTTTTTCAGCATTTTTCTCTTCATCACATGTGTGGAAATTGGCTGAATAACGGGTTTAGAATAATTTCGATTTGCACCATATTTTATAGGCAATGTCATCATTGAAAAGCCGAATGTTTTTAGTGTTTTCATCGGTAGATTCTCAAGCTTGATATCTAATATATATTGTTATAAATATG